TTCCCTACAGTGAACAGGTATGATTTATGCAAAACAGGTGCTGCTTATTAAAATGGTTTTAACAACTCACAGCTGACACATCCATGTTGGGTTTCTTACAGAATTAGGGGCTGAAGGGATAGGTCCTATCTCTGACCTTTTGGAGTTGACAGTGGGAATAACAACCCCAAAACTCACAAATTCTCCCTTGGAGCACGGGGTCCTGGGCTGACCTGAGGGGCAGTTCTCACGGTCATTTAAATTCTCTGAAATGCAATTCTTCACTTCCGGGGAGTGTGGTTGTTTTAGAAAGTAACTGCTAGTCTCTGAGACCCCACCCAAACATATGTTTCTCCCCTTCACCCCTCTTAGTTGTCTAGTATACAGGGGTTGGGTGCTAATAAAATTAAAGACGGTCACATGGACCCCAGACCAGAAACCCTGGCTGCTCAGTGTTCCAGCCCCAGCCCAGGAGGACCTATAGGGAGTGAGTCCTCCAGCCTGGCCAACTCAACTCTCTGGCCCACCCTGAGGCCCCCCCGCACCCCCCCAGAAGCCACCTGCAAATCTGACAATCACGGCATTACTTCAGGAGAAAAAAATACCGCCCGGAAGGCAAGACAGGCCTTGATCAGGCATGAGGCGGGGCCAGCCGTGCCAGCCACTTCCCTGGGTTATTCATGCCACCTCTGCGCGCAGGAATCTTCCAAACATTTAACATGCTTCCTCTAGGTACAGCACAAATCCCCAGCAGGTGGCAACAGCTGTGGAGAGGCCCGCAAGGAATGAATGACTTGGGGGCCGAGAGGGACATACACTGGCCTTGGGAAGAAAGCCCATAATGGTGGCCAGGAGACAATGCTGAGAATGGTTTCAGAAGGCTACCCTGACCGGCTTCTTTGAAAATCAGGAAAGAAGGGTAGGAGATGGGAGGTGTTCCCAAACGTGGGGAGTGATGGCGCCCAATCAACCAGAGTCGGGAGCCCCTCTTTCTCAGACAAAGAAAAAGCCGGAATGGCACCACCGGCTCCCACACCCCAGAACAATTTCACCCAGGCTCCCCAAGCAGGTGGCAAATCTGTCCTGACTCAGGCAAGGATGGTTAGGAAAGGAGGGGAACTGGAATAGATGGCCATGTCTACTTCCAAAGGAGAACAAATCCACGAGGGAAGGAGCTCTTCAAAGGTCCACTCGGCTCTGGGTCTTGACAGAGCAGAACGCCCCCCACGCCCACCCGCAATGGCTTCACACAGGCCTCACCCCAGATGACTCTGCGCTCTCCCGCAAGGCCTGGCAGGTGTCATCGCCACCGTCAGTGTGGCCGTCTGTCACTTGGAAATTTCCCGTGAATTCCCGGAGATGCCCGTCTCTATCTCTCCTTCAAACCCCCCGCCCAAGGAATCAGACAACGGGACGCGGGGCGGCTACCCCAAGATTCGGATCTGTCCTCCTCCGTCCCACTTGCCCAGGCCGCTGTCAATTTGAGAACCCGAAAAAGGAGTATTTTTCAACCCCCTTAGGAGCCCTGCCTCCAGCTCTCCGCCCTTCTCCGCGCCGATCCCTCCAGGCAGCGCCCCAGGCTCTTCTGGGCTCTGTCATTTTCACCTGACAAAAGCGTGGCGGCGGGGCGCGGCAACGGGCGACCGCAGGCCAACATTTCTTCCCAAGGAGAGGGACACGTGTCCCCGCGGCGCACTCACTCGGGGCCTCGGCCAAGCCCACCAAGCGGGGGAACAAAGCGGCCGGGCGCGGCTCGACGCGGACCCCAGCGAAGCCCCGTGCGCCCCCAGCCCTCGCGGCCCCGCCCGCCAGGCCCCAGCGCCCGGGCCGGGCCCGCAGGGCAGCAGCCGCGTTCTGTGCCGCCCGCTCGCCCGACACCTCGGCAGCTACTGTACCTGCTAAATTTAGCGGCCGCCGGGTATTAATAGCCGGAACGACCGGGGCGGGCGCCGCAGGGGCACGCGCAGCCCGGGGGCCGGGGGCCGGGGGCCGGAGAAGGAGGGGAAGGAAGGAAGGGACGCGGGGAAGAAGGCCACTTACACCACCAGCCTGGAGATGATCCATGCCACCATGGCGGGGGGCGGGCGGGCGCGGCCCGGCGGCGCGGCGCGTCTCGGATGCTGGCGGCTGCGGCGCTCCGGGCACGTCTGTCCGCGCACGGCCGCCGCCGCCAGACTGAACGCGCCCGCCGCCCTGCCCGGCGCTGGCGCGTCGGCGCAGCCGCGGCACGTTCCGGCGGCGGCGGCTGCCCCAGCCCCCCGGGGCCGGGCGATTGGGCGGCGAGCCGGTCGGGCACCAGCGGGGCCCGCCCCGCCCCGCTTGCCCCGGGCCCCAGGCTGAATTCGGGAGGTTCCTCTGCGCGCCCCGGTGCCCCCGCCGCTCGCAGGGGACCCTGAGGTGGTCCAGTTGGCAGGGCAGAGGCCCGGTGCCGCCCCACCATCTGTGCTCCAGCGGGGAAACTGACGCCTGGATCTTGGGAATCTGTCTCCACCTGTTCTGATTGAGATACAGTCATCCCTCGCTCTGATACGGATACTGCGCTAGCGTAATTAGGGACTTCACTGTATCCAGATATGACCCCTCCAGTTGTCCGCCACAAGGCATTATCTGCATAAGAAACAAATCTGGGCCTGTGTCTCCCCTAGTTAAAATTCTAAAGAGTCCCTACAAGATCTTGTCCCTGCCTGCAAACTCATTGCCACCACCATGCCCCCAGATACCCCTCTAGCCCTTTTCACTTCAGGAATTTTGGACTTGGGCAAGCGCTGTTCCCTCTCCCCTGTTCATTCACTCCATGCCTCAGATAAAGTTTATTGCCTAAGGAAAGCCCTTCCTAGATGGCTGCTCAGCATTTCTGTGTCAAAGTGACTCAGGGGTACGATCTGGCTGGGAGGAAGCTAGAAGCTGGAACTGCCTGGTGCCGCTGCCCTGCGGAGCCATTTTGGAGCCTTAAGCAAAGGGAAAATGTGCATCGTATGCCCGTTGTTTATGTGTTTTTTAAAATATTGCATTGAATGTGATTTATCTTGATTGCTGCATTTTGTGACACTCCCTTACATTTTGCCACCCAGGAGAGTGCCTCACTCTCCACACCCTAACCCTGGCCCTTATTATATAAGTGCTGCCTGGTACATTGTTTCCTTGTGCTCTTGAAAAACTTTTGTCCATTGCCCCTGGCCTTGGTTGCTGCCTTCCTCACCGCCTCCATGGTGCCCTCTCAGAGCACTCCCCTCCTTTGCTGATGCTTTGTCATGTATAATTCGGTGTCAGATGCGAGAGGCACAGGAAAGAGCTAGCTCCAAGCCTTCTTTAAAGGAACCCTGTCCAAGACAGCTTCCTAGCACAGGCAAGGAGACCTCAGACCTTGGCGGAAAGAGGCTGGAAATGTACCTTCAGAGGTAGTAGAGAGAGAGTGGGTGTGATACAGGCTGAAGAAAGATCTTGCCCACAATAAAGGGACAGCAGACAAAACATCCTCTTTGGTAAGGGGGTCTCCAAAGAACCCATAAAATTTGAAATACAGTTGTTGTTGTTGTTTTTAATGCTGTTTTGACCCAGTTTTGAGGCCCATCAGGGACTGGTCAGTTCCCCTTCCCAGGCAGCCAAACAAGTCCACACCCCACCACCTGCTTTATCAGGCTCTCACACAGGCCACCATATGCCTAGCTTATCACCCCAGGGCCAGGTACCAGATGGCCGGGGACAGCTCCTACGCCCTTGAGCCCACTGAAATTATTCAAATCAGCCAATCCTGAACCTGTTTATCCTGCCTTGCTTTTTCCTTCACGTAAGAAACCACAATTTCCCTCTGTCTGTCTGCCTCATAAGCCACCCCAGTGTTTACAGTGAGTGGCCCTACTTGGCATGCGGTGTTCTGTTCAGGGAACCGTGAGCGAAACAGAACTGTAAAAGCTTCTGCCTTCCCTCTCTCGATCCAGCCTCACCATACCTTCCCCAAGGTAATACGGTGGAAACACTACCCGACAAGAAAAAGCTTGGAATACCTACCAGGCAGATCAGGACAGTACCAAGCAAACAGGACCTACTTCCATCCCCTCCCCTCAACCCCAGGTCAGAAAATGCTGTCAGTGATGCTGGGGGGGGGGAGGAGCTGGGGGAGGTGGGGGAGGGGGAAACTGTGGTTCCAAGAAAGCCTTTGGGTGGGAAATTAGAGGAGAAACTGGTCATGTGCTAGTTCTGTGCTGGAGATGTCCCCATTCCTATTAATGAAATTCTTGGGTTTGTCTATTGCACACAACTGGACATTTTCATGAATGAAATGAGACTGTTCATGGGATTAAAATATCTGGAAGTCTTTCTGTTATCTGAAGAGGACCAGAAAACTAGTGGGACCAACCAGATTTCGCTCAAGTGTTGTGGAAATAACATGTTCAACAGTGCGAAGCATGGAAGGGCACAGAAGGGGAAAGAAGAGAGAGAAGAAAGTTGCTCTTCTATTTCATTCTATCTCTTTCAGGGTAACGGTTACACATATTGCATCTCTCCATCATAGACCCCTTCCAGTTTGTCCTTGACCCTGGAAAACATCAGGCCAGGGAATGGATACAGCCTTCTAGACAATGCAACTCTTAAAGCCGTATCAGCTGGTTCACTTTAAGTTATTTTTCACGTGAACTGCTGTTCATGTGGATGCTTATGATCTGTTTCCACCCTGTAACCTTCCCCTTTCTTTTGGGAAGATCTCTCCATTTTGCATTGGGGAATGGTTCTACCCACACTCCAATCTCCTTGTTTTGTTGTTGTTTAACTGAAGTATAGTTGATTTATAACATTGTGTTAATTTTCCAATTTTTTTTTTTGCGGTACGCAGGCCTCTCACTGTTGTGGCCTCTCCCGTTGCGGAGCACAGGCTCCAGACGCACAGGCTCAACGGCCGTGGCTCACGGGCCCAGCCGCTCCATGGCATGTGGGATCTTCCCGGACCGGGGCACGAACCCGCGTCTCCTGCATCGGCAGGCGGACTCTCAACTACTGCGCCACCAGGGAAGCCCAATTTTCCAATATTTTAAGTGTCATTTTCTCACAGGTCCTTACTACCTCAATTGGCCATGGGTGAGCACTGGACATAAGCTAGACCAAAGTTCTCCCCTAGGATTTCTAAAGTTGAAAATAGGAAAAAGACACTTCCACTTTCAACCATTTATACGAAATTCTAGTCAAGACAAAACCTTTTGCTCTACAAATTCTAGCTGCTTGTACCTGAACTATCAATAGTAACAGAAAATACGTCAGTGTTGCCCAGATGCCAGGAATGGGGGAAGGGAATTGACTGCAAAAGGGCAAGAGGGAACTTTTGGGTGATGAAAAAATTCTATATCCTGATTGTGATGGTAATTACCAACTGTATACATTTGTCAAAACTCACCAAATTTTACACTGAAATTGGTGAATTTTATTTTATGTAATTATATCTCAGTAAAGCTAATCTTTAAAATTAGAAAAAAAAAGTTTATAATGTGCTATGTGAGGCCCAGTAGTTCTAGGAAGCCATGTTTTTTATTAGTCTTTTTCTTATTGATTGATTTAAAATTTCATATATTAAGAACATAAGTCTTTCAATCCACATTAAAAATGTTTTTTTTTTTCCAGTTTGTCGTTTTTTTCCTTCAGACATTGTTCATGGTATTTTTTTCTTTTCAAAGTGTTTGGGGCTTCCCTGGTGGCTCAGTGGTTAAGAACCCGCCTGCCAATGCAGGGGACATGGGTTCAAGCCCTGGTCCAGGAAGATCCCACATGCCGTGGAGCAACTAAGCCCGTGCACCACAACTACTGAGCCTGTGCTCTAAAGCCCACGACCCACAACTACTGAAGCCCACGTACCACAACTACTGAAGCCCACACATCTAGAGCCTGAGCTCTGCAACAAGAGAAGCAACCACAATGAGAAGCCCGCGCACCGCAACGAATAGTAGCACCCGCTCGACACAACTAAAGAAAGCCCGTGTGCAGCAACGAAGACCTAATGCAGCCAAAAATAAATTTAAAAATTTTTCTTTCGGGGCTTCCCTGGTGGCGCAGTGGTTGAGAGTCCGCCTGCCGATGCAGGGGACACGGGTTCGTGCCCCGGTCCGGGAAAATCCCACATGCCGCGGAGCAACTAAGCCCGTGAGCCATGGCCGCTGGGCCTGCGCGTCCGGAGCTTGTGCTCCGCAACGGGAGAGGCCGCAACAGTGAGAGGCCTGCATACCGCAAAAAAAAAAAAAAAAAAAAATTTTCTTTCGTAATTTAAAAATATTTTTAATTAAAAAGATCTCCCCATGCTTTCTGCTGTTGTGGTTTCAATTTTAATTTCACACCTTTTATCTTACAGTCTATCTGGAATTTATTTTAGTGTATGAGTTAGCTGATTGTCCTGACACTATTCATTGAATAATCCACCATTTTCTCCCTTACTTCGAAAGACCATCTCTATGATATACTCTAATTGTTATTATATCAGGGTCTATTTCGGGACTCTGTTCTGTTCTGCCCATTCATTCATGAGTTACTACCAAACAATTTTGATTAATGTAGCTTTTTATAATATATTTTACTATTTGGTAGGCGTAGTCCCTCCACTTATTTCCTGAATTTTTCTTGTTATTCTTGCCATTTATACTTTCATAAGACTTTAGAGCCGTATTATTCATTTCAAGGACTTCTGGTTGTTATTCTTCATTGTTATGAGGTAAGATTCGTCAATTAATTTAGTGAGAATTTTTTTCATTACAATATCTAGCCTTCCTGTTTGAAAGCAAGACATCCTAGACACTTCCAATGCTTCATCTGGAAATGAACAAAAATATAAAGTGATCTGATTCATGGCTTGAGGAAAAACTCATTGTATTAGACATTTTGGACCATATAAATAATTTTTTTACTGTATACAATTTTTTGCCTTAAAGATTGATATTGATATGAAAACTCAACATAAGGTACAGATAAACCAGAAGTGGTTTACCATGAAAAAAAAACAAAAAACGAGTTTTACGGCCTCTAATTTTTTCCCTTTTGAGACCCTAGGCAGGACCCTAGCAATATAGTCACATGATTACATGTGCAAAAGTAAAATATTTTAATTAAGATCTGTTGGAGTGGCTATTTTTCTCACTCCATCTCTCAATCATGCTTCTCCTTGTACTGAGTATTATCCAAGTGGTCAAAAGCATTT